TTGAATAATGCTATTACAAAGTATTGTTATAAATACTATTACAAAGTACTGTTATAAATGCCATTACAAAGTCCTGCGTAGAATTTTTTAAAAAAATAAAAATTCTGTGCAAACCTGTGTATTATTGCAAATCTGCACAGAAATTTTTTTCTTCACAGATCGCTGCCAGATTTGAAGATCTTCAAAAAACTTCAGACCCAAAGATCTGAGCAGAACTGCGCCCTCTGATGTTACTCGATGATGGTTAAGATATAAAAAAGAGTTTTTATTATTATTATTATTTACTTTTAATTATTCTTTATTATTATTATCTTTTATTTGTTATTATTATTTTTTATTTTTAGTTATTTTTTATTATTGATATATTTCTCTAGTTGTTCTTTATTATTATTTTTTTCTAGTTATTTAATAACAATTTCTTTTAAATATATTATTATGAGTTTTAATATAATATTATAATGCAATAAACTTGAAATTATTTGATTTATAGACAAGTAATTTATATTTATTCTAGTTCTATTTTTATTTTTATTTTATATGAGAATAAAGAATTTTTAAATTTAAAATAATTTCTGAATGCAAAATGAGTGCAAATTTTTTTAATAATTAAATTTGCATTTTATCTATAAAATATAGATTATTATCTTTATTCTCAAAAAAATAAAAATTATTTCATAATAAAAATAAAATTTCAATATTAAGAGAGAATTTTAATTTTCACTAATACATAATTTTTGGGGTGATTGGTCATTTTTGGTAACCCACTGTACGTATTCCCTTTAGAAGCAGATCACGGTAATGATGTGATTATAGTGAAACGTACCTATCGTTTTTTATTTAATAGTATTTAATGATCCAGAATAGTGTAATTCTAGAAGAGAGGGGAGTGATTATACAATAAGTAGAGGGATTAATTGAATCTATGCTGAATTTTTCGAAATTCATTTATTTTACTAATAGTTTATAAAACATAAAGGTGATAAATTAATAAAAAAAAGGTAAGCCATAAAGTGATAAAGCTTGACCTAATCTATCATTTTACGATTTAGTTTGTTAAAATTATCAAATTTGAAATTGTTTGATGAGCATATGTAGATGTTATGCACCATAGAACAAATGGCGAGTTATTTTATGTAATACAAATCAATACAGTTTCTCCATCTCATCTTTCTATTATTAGAATTGATCCCCGTTTATGCCATGTCTTTTCATTATTCTTGAACACATAAAGGGTATATGTTTTTCCAAGCAGCAAACATCTCTTCTGAGATTTCTTCAAGTTCTGATTCACCACAATAATAACAAACATCATATTGTTTACGAAAAGCTGGTCAAATAATATCAGACTTGATGTTTTACTTTCTCGAAGAACTGTTACAAATGGAAATATCTGCAGTTTTGGAAACCCAATTCAAAGTTGATCTTGACTGGTAAAACATAAATCGCATTTTGTTTGCCTCCTTTTAATAAAACCTTCTTGAATAGCGAGAAAAAGCTGCGCCGACTAAAATGCTAAGTTTCAATTGGATAAAAATTTACGCGTAATATCTAATCCTGTTTGTTTAATATTACATGTATTTGAAGTGGGTTAAACAATCAATAAATTTTGCTCGATGTAGATTTACTAAATAACTTTCGATATCGTGGATTTTTTTACTAAGGTTTTTTAGGTAAAAAAATTCATACTGTTTATTTTCTTTTGAAATTTAGATCAAGTGGGATATTAAAAACTTGCATTTTATCAGAGTATCGATACTCGAAACTGAATAATCTTGATTGGTAAAACCAATCGGTCGACAACGGTTTTCACCGACAAAGGGCTTCTAGAAATATATTCAATCTTTCTTAGTATTATAGTAAATACTACAAATATTTAACAAATATAACTTTGTTTAGATGGAATATCTTTAATAGATTCCTCTTTTTTTTCGTTGACCGGTAAAAGCTCTAAAGTTTGCATGCGATTAATCGTAAATTTCACTATTAACGTTAAGCATCTTCATATGTAAATTTATGCCAGAAGTCTAAATATGTAAGCAAAAGCATGTACACATGTATACTTTTCCAATTGAATGGAGGCACAGGCAACTGCACGCACCATCTAATTCAAAGATTATTCGATGGCTGATTTAACTATAATTGAATGGAGGCACAGGCAACATGCATGCACCATCTAATTCAAAGATGGCTGATTTAACTATAATTGAATGGAGGCACAGGCAACATGCATGCACCATCTAATTCAAAGATGGTGATTTAACTATAATTAAAGAAAAATCGATATTGACTAAAAATTAACGGACAATGCTAGCAATTTTCGCTAAGTGCTATACTCCTGCGATTTACATAATAAAAATCAAAAAACATAAAATTGATTAAATAAAATTTTTACTAAAGTTTATTATATACAATAAATAAGTATTATTCAATCTTATACAAGTGAAAAAAAATAAATATATATGATCTTTTTGCTAAGGCAATCCTGCAATTGAGTGTAATTTGCTCTGATTTTTTACTTTTATTGTATGTACAACAATTATAACCTAGAAAACTTTGTGCATTCGTCTTTTCAATAAAAAAAATGCTTTTGTTGCATTGTGAACTATTCATGGGTAAAAAATGCTGCATGTCTAATAAACATGCAGAGCAATGTGCTTTCTATACATGCTTTTGTTGCATTTTGAACTATTAAAAAGGTTGCAGGTCTAATAAACATGCAGAGCAATGTACTTTCTATACATTATTAAAATAGAATGGTCTGGGTAATTCAAACTGTCAAACTAAACTTCGAAGAAATGAGTGGTTTTTGCTGCTTACACGTGATACATGACTCGATCCTATATATGCTTACGCGATCAGGAAATGTAAAAGAAATGTGTCACATTATAATCAACTTTGGAAGGTTATTTCCTCAACCAATCATGAATTATTCCGCGAATGTTTGCCATTTGGGTTCTGTTTATAACATCTCGGGATTACTCTGTGTATGTTTGAACCAATTGTGAATTATTCCGTAAATTTTTGCTAGCATTAGGATGGGATGTTGTTTCTACAACATAGCCAATTGCGAATTATTGCGCGCATGTTCGAAGTAGACTAGCATTATGATTCTGTTTCCACGCTAAAATAAATATTGAACAACAATAAATTTATCCTATTGACAGACATGTGAATAAGTGGCACTTGCGCAAAAGCTCTTATCATACTTGACGCGATTTTCATACATGCTCCCTCTCTGTGGGAATATGATTCCATCATTACCTTATAATGAATGGTTACGCAAATGTAAAGAGTTTGTATTGAGTATTAAAATCCCATATTGTAGAAATAAGGTTCTACTTGCATCATTCCGATTTTCATTATTTTTCTGTGACTGTCTGTCAATTATCACTGGTTCTAAACAGTACTACAATAATTAACCAGTGTTTCAAGGTTTTTTTTATAGACGGACAAAGTGGTTGTCGATCATATAGTGTATCAAAAGAACAAAAGGATTTTACCTTGATGTCACGTTATCACATCGTCTATATTTCTCCACGAACCTCTTTGCATTTTTTCAGGTTGCATGTTCGCCCCGTATGTTGTACTTACATTCAGCAAAATTAATACGTTTATGATAAAATTTCTTATACTTTCCTTTTTTTAACCTTTTTAACCTCGAACGTTAAAATATGACATCAAAAGTTCGTAAACATGTCACTACGGCGTGTCAGAATTGTCGGAGTCGCAAAGCGCGATGCAGTGGGAAGCCATGTTGCCAGCGCTGTATAAAGAACAATTTGAATTGTGTGTTTGTCAGTCCTACCAAGAAAAGAGGGCCGCCGAAGAACATCCACAGTGAAATAATCGAATCGCGTCTTTCTCGGATAAGTCGCATTGACAGAGAATATTCTCAATCCCTACCGAAGCTAAGTTCTGTTCATCCTATCGTTCGACATGGCTTTAAACCGGGCCTGCCTTTACTTAAGTCTCATCAGTGCGACCAAATTACCTCTCGGGGAATGTTAGATTTCACAAATCGAGTTCCTCCCATGGACATGAACTCATTATTTTTTGAACATACGAGTTCGATGGGTATGTAAAACACTTCATTATGGCATTTTCTTATATATGGTGCATACCATCTAAAGTCATCAAGCGTTTGTATTTTATAAAATGTATAACTTCTTTACTAAGAAGTAAATACAAAATTTAATCCGTAAATATGCTCAGAAAAGGCCTGTTATATTTACGAATTAAATTTTGTATCTACTTCTCAGTAAAGAAGTTTATTCATTTTATAAAATAAAAACGTTTGATGACTTTAGATGGTATGCACCATATATTTAATAAAAGAGTTTTAAAATTTATTTTTACCGTTACCATCTATAAATGATATAGATACCACTCAAATTCAATCTTTTCAAAATTCTTTATCATTTTCGAGCGATAATTTGTACAATACAATCCCACAATTCCGTTTGCCAAATTTGCCCTTAACTCATCACGGTCTTCAAGATTCGAGGATTAATCTAGAAATGCCTCATCAAAACTGTCGTAATGAGAGACAAGAATTTTGGCGTCAAAGTTTTTAATTCACTCCTGATTTTCTACTTTTCTTCGAAAACATTCGGTCGGAATGCAGCAAATAAAAGTTTTCGTTTTATCAGCACTTGATAGTTTGGTTCGTTTTATTTTCTACTTTTCTTCGAAAACTACACATTCGGTCGGAATGCAGCAAATAAGAGTTTTCGTTTTATCAGCACTTGATATTTTGGTTCGTTTTATTTTTCCTTATGTCTATTATTTTCTCCGAAAATATAAAATAAGCACACTTTTTTAAATATAAAAATTTATTACAAAAAAAATATGTTTCTTAAGATTTCAAAAAAGGGCCCCTTTTTTATTTACTCTTTTTCAGTCAACTGTTAGGTTTTTTTATGAATAAATTTCAAGCATAATAAAATAAATTTCCGAGCTAAAAACGAATTAATTGAGAGGTTGTACTTTAACTTGTAATGAATGTTTTTCAGGGATTCTTTTAAATCAAAATGATCTTTTTAGCTTTATCCTGAATCACAATGATGCAGTCTATTTGAACTTTATCTTAAATTCAAACAGCTAAATACATATACATGTACCTTTAGAGTCATGTGATGTATGCATGCTACGTAATTTGTCTATTTATTTATCGTTATTTATGAGATCTTTTTCAAAAAATGTTTTGTGCTTTTATTTTAATTTCTACATTTATGTTTTTATCTTTGATAATGTCAAAATATGAATTAGAAAATTATCAACTACCATCATCTTCGCCAACGTTTCCCACCGCCTCTTTTGTAAAAGTAAATGGAACAAGTTTCGAACAAAATGGCAAACCATTATTTTTGACTGGTGCGAATTATTGGCAAGCGATGAATCTTGGCATGGCAGTAGGTGGAAATCGTACAAGGGTGTTAGCTGATTTGGCAAAATTAAAAGAATATGGTGTGAATAATATTCGAGTTATGGCGGCTAGTGAAGGTCCACCCGGCGAACCGTATCGAATGTATCCGGCGTTAATGAATTCTCCGGGAGAGTACGATGAAAATGTTTTTGAAGGTGAAATTATATGTTTTTTTGATTTTTGATTTTAGAGTGATTTTTAATGTTCCTCATTTAGGCTTGGATTGGTTTCTTGATCAACTTGAGAAGTATGGAATGACAGCAACAATGGTAATATATATAAAAATAAAATCTTTTTATTTCTCACCTAAATTTTAATATTATTTAGACACTTTCAAATTACTGGCACTGGTCAGGAGGATTCGCTCAATACGTGAATTGGGCGGAAAATGGTAAAACACCAATCCCTTATCCCAAAGGTCCAGATTTCGAAGCTCTTGAAGCTTATGCAGCAAGATTTTACAGCGACCCTACCGTTGAACCCAGATGTCAGGAAATATATCGAAATCTTGTACACACGGTAGTCACTCGTCGTAACACGATCAATGGAAAACTTTATCGAGATGACCCGGTGATTCTTACTTGGGAATTAGCCAATGAACCTCAAGCAATAAAAGGTTCAAATGCTCATGATATTATATATAAATGGATTGATTCCAGTGCGGCGTTTATCAAATCGCTGGATTCGAATCATCTGGTTAGTACCGGTGCGGAAGGAAAAAACGGAAAAGAATGGTTTGTGACAATGCATACAAGTGAAAATATTGGTGAGTGTATATTTTTTTAGTTTTAAGTTAGTTTAACTAATGATTATTGTTTTTTTTCGACAAGATTTTGCTAGTGCTCATGTGTGGGTTGAGAATTGGGGTTATTATAACTCTAGTGATCCATCTGCAGAAAACTTCGAACATGCAAAGCAGTTCATGTTGAATTTTCTGCAAGATGCAAGTAATTGGTCTACAAATATTTTGAAGAAACCGGTCTACTTAGCGGAATACGGTGAATACACTAATTTATTTTATATATCAAGCCTTTACCAATTTTAATGATATCTGGCTCAAAAAAAGGTATGGCTCGAGACGGATGGACAAAAACCTCAAAATATGATCCCGCTGCACCAGTCACCAACAAAAACAAATACTATAAAGCTTTAGCCGATAAAGTATTTGAACTTGAAAAAGAAAAGGCGTTTTCTGGACATGCTTTTTGGGCGTATTCTGGCATCGCTCGTCCGAGTGATCCTGCTCCACAATGGCTTGGTGATCCGCCACATGAGTGTAAGTTAATGTGAATAATCTTAATATTTCCATTAATCTTGAGTTTAATTTATGGTTTTTTTTTCGTTATCAGCACCAGGATGGTATGGCGTCTACGATTCTGATAAAGAAACTTTAGAGATTATTGGCGCGCATGCGCGACAAGTTGAACAGTTGCTTAAATGAACGAAACATGTAATTCTAATATTTTACATTTGTTATGATACCCAATAAAATATTTCAAATTATTATTGTTGACTGCATAACGATAACTGCCCCTGGTCTTTTATGCAAGAGAACGTATCTAGAATGTCCTGTGGGAATGAGTCTACGTATTACATAATAAACAATATGAAATATTGTGATTGTGCTAGCTATAAAGTTCGATACATGTACGTACCCAATAGCTGCATGAAAATATTGTGATTACGTATAAAGTTCGATACGATAGTTGTATTACAAAAATTTTATATTATCGTTACATGTATCAACAAGTTCGTTAAGACGAGCCGAAAATGTGCCAAATTTTATATGATTTATATGTATATTCAGCATATTGTAATAGTAATAGATTCCTCGAAAAAACAGATTTTACATTAGCTCCTTTATTTTTGGAACAAAAAATGACGGCACTCACTTACGTAATATTAAGTGCTTTAACTATACAGTCGACTTTCGATATAACGACGTGCAGATTCTATTGAATTTATATTGTTTACAATAGGATCTGCACGTCGTTATATCGAAAGTCGACTGTAGTGCTCTGAATCATTCGATATCGTAATCGATTCACAGAAATACGTACTACGTCTGGTACACATTTTGACAGCAATTATCTACTAATTCAATAAATTAATTATACTTTTAAGTATTTTTTTAATATTTCTTCAAATATATATAATTATGTATTAAAAGTTTTGTATTTTTTTTATAATTTTATAGATTTTTTTCAAAAAATGAAATTTCTTGAATTTTTTGACAATTTATTTTGTTCTTGGTGGTTATTAATCATTCTATAATTAAAAATACTTCACACACTGTATTACATGTAGTATAACCAAAATTTCAAGAAATAACGCATCCTAATAATATTAGAGCATCTAACAGATTTTTGTATTTAAAAATATTTAGTTTTATAATTTTCTATATATTTTTTACATATAGTACAAAGATCTAAATCAAATTTATTAACCAATTATAATAGATATGTTATATACTTATTTTTTGTAGATTACTTTGATATTTTTAATAATATTTATAAAATCAGCAAAGTCAAGCAAATAACATATTATATATTAATACTGAAAATTATATTGATATTTGTTATACTTGTTTGGATCCAGATTTACTTTGAAGTATAATTTTTGCAAATTCTACAAGTACTTTTAATAATTATATTTGATTATATCATTGTATAATTTGGATAATTATTTGATTATAATATTTTTCAATATAATACATTATAAAGAAAAATTCATAATAAAAAATATAATTAAATGAACTATAATTATATTAATAAAAAATAAATTATAATAACAAATAATTTAGATAATATATATTAATAAATTTGTAAAAAATATTAATAAAATATTATTTATAAATATTACTATTAATTATTCTATAAAAATAATTAAACAAAATTTTTAAATTAAAAACAAAAAAATAAAATATAATATTTTATATTTTACAATTTTAATTTATACAGAAAATATATTGTTCAATCTATTTAGTTTTATTAAATCAAATAATAATATTTTATTTAAATTAAATCTTTAAATTACAAGAAATCACATTTAAAAATTATTAGTTTTTAATTTTTTGCTTAATAAATTTATTTTTCAAATATTATTCTTAGTTTTATTATAGTTTTAGTAAGTTTAATAATAGTTATTTTGCAAAATAATTTAATATTTTATAAAATATTATTTCTTAAACTATCAGGTTTAGCAAGCAAATTTGCTTGCTAAAATTTTATAAATTTATATTGTCACCGTTTTACTTGGGTTTCAAATATATTATATCTTCTTACGTGCTCAATACGTGTTTTAAGTCAGGTGGAAGAGATAAGATAAATAACTAAAGGTTAATGACGTGTATTCAATAAATTACTAGTCAGCTAAAAAGTGACTTAAGAAATCTTCTTATAATTAATGTGTATTTAATAATTACGACGATGATTTATAGACAAGTAAAATATTATAAATTCAATTTATTAAATCATT